GTCCTACTTACGTAATACGTGCAAACCTATTGCCGTCAGCCAGGGACATACATATATTTCTAAATACATACATATTATATACAAATAGAAATATAGATATGAGTTAAACCGTAAATCTTTAATTAATATGAATAACACTGTCGAAGAAATTTTATTTGAATACATGATAATCGTCGTCGAAAAGTCGATCTATAATGTCACACTCCTAAATTTTATTTTTAACTATCTTATCACCCAACATAATTTTAGAGATTCGCACCTTCTTCGGCCATGTGTTCAAATGAAAATCGGCGCACAGACTCATGGAATAGTCAGCATGCATTTAAATAACTTGCAAATTATTTCGTGGGATCGTTTCCAACGCATGCATATGTAGGATTCTTCTTCTCTTTTGTTCAACTAATGTTGTGCTCGTAGTTGCGGTCACATGATAAACGTACCTACTACCGAACATTCTAATTATCGGATTTGCTTATTTTTTTTAATGAAATGTGTTGATGTAAAGATTTATCATCATACGAAATTATCTAAATTTCGCCCTTCTCAAGTTACACTCTAACACAATTTCATCCAATACATTTTTAAGTTTTTCAAGCCTTTCATTCTCTAAATGTTTTTCACTCCGATTTTCACCGAGGTATGTGGTTCGTTTTAGTTCGAGCACTCGCTAAAACAAGCCCCATCATTTGATGTAGCCCAATAATTATATTATATTATATATAATAATTAAACTTATTAAATTCGAATACGTATTACCTGTGTATAATCTGATGTCCTGACTATCCTTGTACAGATATTCCCTATCATGACATGGAAGCATGCGTACATCATGGGTCTCTGTATTTCACATAAACTCAAATTGTTTCAAATAAACCATTTCTCTGTGTACAATATCTACAACAAAAGAGGTACAAAGATGTCTCTTGCCGTATATAATGATGATAACAATCCCCAGACTCATATATTATCTAACATAATATTTATGCGACATGAGAGACGTAATTAATGCAGTCAGAAACTGACGTATCACTTGCATTGCGGTTAGACATATGCATATAATTGTAGCCAACTTATAACGGGTTAAATACCTACCTCTAAACAAGAATGTTGCTTGTGATTTCATTATATTTATATGCATTTCATACAATTTTTAATTTCTTTGTACCTTGGTATAAACATATATGTGTGTATGAATAAACATATATGTGTAAGGTGTGGTGTGAATCGGGACTCTGAATTCTGATTGACACCGTCAAATATTGTGAACTTTAATCGATTTTCGAAAAAAATGTCAGCGTCTGGTTATACATTTTTCGTTTATTACTTCAAAGCTTCGTCATTTATTGACGGTTTTGGTAAATTCTCTTTTTATTTGCTATATTTTCCTAACTTATTTCCCGTTTAGTATAATTAAAATGTTTAAAGGACATAAAACATTGTTTACCTTTTTTTGGAATCAGTTGTTTTCGAAGCTTATCTCTATTTGCTATTATTGTCTATTATCACTTTTTTGACGTTCCACCGGAATCCACTTTGATATGCAACTTCTCTGCTGATTTATCTAACATGTTTTAATAAAATCTATTATACAAATAAATAATTACAGTTCACTTAAGACGATAATATCAAACGTAATTTGATTAAATAAAAATAGAAATAGAAGGCATTATTTTTGGAAAACATGGCCTAGTCATCTTTGTAAGTAATCCCTCTTCCTCTCCTTGCCTGACTCAGAGTTAACTTTTCCGTTTTGCGCCCGTACGCTTAGATTTTATAATTATTTTAAAAGTACCTACATAATGACGCATGTATTTTACTGTATGGTGTTAATTTTTATCAACCTCGCTTGAAGTTATGGGTTATGCTTATAAACCTCAGTGATTTTCAAATGCACTATTTTAATCAATAATTGTAGATTGCTTTGTAATATGTTAAATAAATAATAATAATAAAAAAAAACAACCGGTAGTATAGGTCAGTTTGGAGATTAACTTTAACAGAACAGATAAAACATCAAGCACATGCATCGTATTTAAGTCCATAACTGAGTTTTCGGTTATCAAAGTCAAAGCCACATAAAAAATCGAATAGAAAGGGAATCTGGAAAATGTCCAACATCATTTGGTCTCCGCCTTAATTTCCGTGGACTAATTAGGGTACGTGTCAGAGGCGACTTTGGAACTCGCGTGAAAGCCTTTTTATCAGAGTAGACTGATTGCCTGGCATTAGTCAGCGAATTTTTCCCTTCCTTGTCCCAAAGATTGACTATACTGCATTATGCTTAATGTTGCAGATAAAAAGACAATTGATGGCCTATTTTCACTTCTAAACATGATCCCTTGCCATTTTGAATAGACCATAAACGTTATAAATACTTTTGAATAAGAAACGAGACAGCTTCTAGATATTTCTATAAACATTTAAATATATTACACTAGGTGCACCCTACCACACTTCCCTGTGGCACATTCTGGTTACATCGATAAACAATGAGGAACAAAACTAAAGCGAAAAATAGATAAAAACAAATTGATGTCCGAAGCAAGTTGTACTGTACGTCAAAATTTAAACAGAATTTGTCAAAAATTGGTTCAGACCTTTATGAGTTTTTGCAGCGCGCTGAAAAACCAACTTAACATATTATATATATAGAGATTTGCAATAGCCCATACCTATGTCTTCTAACAACGTTTTTCAACAGTTTCGTACTAAACTTTTTTTCCTACAGTTATTTTGAGTAGAAAGGTGTAAGGTTCCTATTGAAACAGAGGGTAATACATACATTATCATTAAAACCAAGAATCTAACAGGGTTGTTTTATATAAACAGACTAGTTGACATCCCTAATACAAGAGGTGAACACCCAAAAGGTAAAGTTAATTCGCCCCGCCATTATAATAATGTTATAAAAAAGAGGTTTTTCGTTGTGCCTCTCAAAAAAATGATCTCCGATTACAAAAGCCGGGGAAAGAATTTGACACTGGGCTTCAAAACTTTCAGTGTTCTCTTCAAAAGAACACCTGAAAATTGTAATTGCAGGAGTCCGTTAATTAATAAGGGTCTTCAAACCAGGAAACTTCAAAGATTGTGTTAGGGCTGCCGGAGCAAAATATTATACCTCTCTTACTCTCTCAAAAGGGCTTCAGTTAGAAGCAAGAAATAATGTCTGTTTTTATTATGTAAGCCTATCTTCCTTAGCCAGGTTTGTTCTTTTTTGATGGTAAATGGGGGCCAACGACCAGAAGGGTCACTTGATGGTAAGTGATTATCGCCGCCCATGAACACCTGACACCCTATAGATTTAGAACAGTGTCAACGTTGTTATGACTTCAATGATTAAAGAGTGTCTAAGGTTTTAATCCATACTAATATCTGTCTGTCTGTCTGTTACCTCTTCACGCTTAAACCGTTGAACTGATTTAAATTCAATGTGGTACAGAGATCGTCCGAGTCCCGGGAAGGGACATAGGGTAGTTTTATCCCAGAAATCATACTTTAAGGGGGTGAAAGGGGAAAGGCATAGGCTATCACGATAACGTACATTTACGCGGGCGGAGCCGCGGGCAAAAGCCAGTTGTAATATATATTAAGAATGAGTACCAGTTAAATACAGGCTTATTTGAAGCCACGAGAGGCGTCACGGGACCCTCTCATACCGATTGACGCAGGTGATCACTGGGAAGGGATGTTTCGGAGATCACCTGTGTCTGATCCGCAAGGAGCCAACGCCTGAGTGCCACCACTGCGATGGCCAGACCGTGGACACGGCTCTCCACACGCTGGCAGAGTGCCCGGCGTGGGTTGAGCAGAGGCGAGACCTCGTGGCGGCCATCGGAGTGGGAGTTCTCTCGCTCGATAGCCTGATTGCGGCTATCGTGCGGAGCGAGAGTGCGTGGAACTCTGCCGTCTCCTTCTGCGAGCAAGTTATGCTCGCGAAGGAGACGGCGGAGCGGGACCGGGAGAGGTTTAGAACTCTCCCGGCCCGCCAGGCCCGGGCACGGGCCAGGCAGCGCAGGCGACTCAGGCGCCGGAGGTCGCAGAACGACCTCCGTCCTCCATAAGCGCAGGCCTGGGGGTGACAGGTGAGGCCATCTGTCACCCTAGCAGAAGCAGGCCGGGGTGGCGGCGAGCGCGTTGCGAAGCGCGCTCGCTTTCAGGGAGCACAGGGAACATGGGGTTCCCACACGGGGCGGGGGTCGTCTACTCGTCTGTAGATGACCCGAGGTATGTCGGGGCACCAGGGCCTTCCTTTCTAGGGTATAGGCGTGCGGTTTTAGTCGGTTCGAGTCCGACATGCCACCGACAGGTGGTATCCGAGGGGATTTCCGCACGGACAAAAAAAAAAAAAAAAAAAAAAAAAAAAAAGGCTTATTTGAAGCCACGATAACTTCTTAAGAGGCAAATAAATAAAATCGTTTAAAAACAATCGTCTATTGTCACAATGTTATTTAAACATTTCAAAACTATTGTAATACAATAACTTTGAAATTTTTGCGTTCCTTGATTTAGCTCAATTATAAAAGCTAAAATTAAACGCTGAAAAAAAACGTTTAAATTGCTTATGACTTTTCAAAGGGTGAAGATCAGCAATCAAAGACAGGGAAACCTTGCTTTATCTTTCGGATTCTCAGGTTTATTTTTGAAAAATATTACTATTTTTTTTTGTATTTTTGTATTTATATTATATTACTATATAGAATACGAAATATTGACAGCCCTATATCAAACTAGTCCTTGTTAGGGTTGTCATCAATTCAGTCCCGCAGTATACAAGGGAACCGAAAGTCATTGTAATGGCAAAAGTCAGAAAGTTTTTGAGTAATTATACGCCATCCCTTTCGGCAGTTCCAGTCTTGAATGTCAATTGACTTGGCTTGTTAAGTTTTTTTCCTGACTAAAACTAAATCAAAAAGAAAATTTACGTGAATAATTTGACAAAATTCTGAAAATAATACAACTTGCTTGATATTGCAAGTATGTTGAACTTCTTTCCTTGAATCCTATTGATGGCAGTTGAATTCCGTTCCTGTCATATATAAAAATTATATTTTAAATATAACCAATAGGCCCAGAGATCATCCATTTTAAACAAACAAATCGCTTCAGTTTATTATATTACTACAGATATTACTGTAGATTATATTACTACAGAGCCTAAATTCAGTCTAAAACCGCCTTTATGCATTAAAAAAATAATCTTCTCACTTCTCATTACGGTAACGGTAATATAAACTTATGTTTCAAATGGTTGTATCACAAGTAAGGTCCTTAACCCTGTACGCCTCTTTAGGTAGCATTAAATAAACTTTATGTTTAACATAAACTTACCTCCATCCTCAGGGATATTCAACAGCTTCTTCGCACCAGGACTGGGACCACGAACCGCCGACAAGGCCCTCTGCAGGGTCTCACTTATAGGCTTTCCGCCAGCCACTTGCCCAAACACAGCCACCATTAATAAAAACTTCACTACACTAGCACTGATATGACCTACTCTTCGCCAGCTGGAATCTTGTTTCCGCATCTCACTGACACGCGTATACCCCATTATTAGACCCCAAATAATGTATAGAACTGGTGCTACATTTTTTTTGACATCTGAAACAAAAGGAAAACTTTGGTTATACATTTTATACTTCTGAATACCTTTTAACCGTGGCTTTTGTGTTAATAACAATTTTGTCAATCAACTCTTCCGGAATAAAAAGTCTATATGCTATTCCAGACTGTAATCAATCTCTTTCCCGGATTTCATCCAGATCTGTACAGCCATTCTAGGGAGGTAGAGTAACAAAAATCTATTGGATCTTTCACATTTGAAAAAGAGACTTAAAACACATTTTATGTGTTACGTGTGAAAATTTATGGATGGTTGATATAATAATTACATGTGACGCCATTAAACGCTAATAAACGCTAGTAAACTACATATTTTAAAGGTTATCTGTTTTATTAAAAACAGAATAAATAGAAAAAAACGCCAAATCTACAAAATAATTTTCTAACATAGTAAAATCAGTTTTGTAATAATCATCATCACTAATGTATTCATAGCTTTGTTCATGAGAATATTCTATACCAAGACACCTGTTTCGTTTTATTAGTTCAATCGTCTAAATTTTTAAATAGTGTAACTGCACAAATATCAGAAATATCAGTGTTTACACACTTTTTATTATCAAATATATTAATGAGTGAATTTATTTATTTAGAGCATTTATACCATTTATTTAACACACAGATGCATTATATATCCAATGCAATTTAATTATGATATAATTACTAGTAAATAGTCAGTGTTAAGCGACAAAGATACCAAGTTTTTCAATGCAATTTCTAATCATTATGTAAATACTGTCTAGAGCACAGAACAAAGCTATTTTTTAAACAAAATGTGCTATAAGGTAGTGTGCGGCCAAAAGTCGGTACAATGACAGTTCAATTTATACTGGTCATTGAATTTAAACAAGATATTTAAAACTGTTTAAATTCAACTGGCAGAGAATCTCCAGTTCCACCAAATACACCTTTACAATGTTCGCTCTACGATTGCGTTTTGAGTGGTGTTGGGAAAGCCACTAAGATAGGAATATTAACTGCCCATCGCATTCGATATTTGCGCCTGAATCTCAAAACTATATTTAATTTCTTTCTAGCCTAGCGTATCAATGTTTTATATTAAATGGTTACAAAACTCTTAAGCCATATCCTGTCTAAGCAACTTTTGCCTTTCGCTTTAAATAAGGATTTCACGGCTCATGAATTTTAACTTAATAAATAAAGTGAAGGTCTCACTATCCAAAGCATGAAATAGCTCTTAAACCGGGAACACTACGACAATACTATTGAATTCAACCCATTTAATTGTAATAACTAAACAAGACCATTATTGCGAAGTAGGGGACCCATTACTAAAAGTCTGATACGATCTCTTTTCCTGAGTAAAGTAACTCAATTCGATAAGAAAAACAAATGGTGAAAAGATTAAAGAAAAACACTGCCATTTGATTACAATGAAATTTGAACTACGAATAAAGTATGCTCACTTTATACGAAAAAAAAAAAATTACTTGCAAGAAAAATGGATGTTTCTTTTCTTTAAAAAAACATGAAACATAATGTAAATGTAGTATAGACAAATAATATTGAAATATTAAAGAAAACAACATAATACGACTTGCCTGTATGTCTAGTTGGTACTGGTTAATGACCTTGACTGGTACATCAGATATTGTGTGATGAAGACCATCATTTTTGATGTGTGAAATACATATATAAGTACATATGTATATCAGCGGACCGATTACACTATAGTACAGACTTCTAGATTGTAATCATACTGTCGAGTGTGAAATGTGTGAAGTTAAGAAGTAAACCCTTAACTTCCCACGAAAAAACAAAAAGACCTAACAAAATGATTTTACAATAGTACTGGCACATATAGAATCTCTGTCTTCTCCTTGGGGAATAGACAGGCGTAAGTTTATGGATGCTGTCACATAAAACGAGGTGAGAAACAAAATGTCTAAATATTTAAAGTTTTAATATCACAAACATTGGTGTTTTCCTTGTAAAATAGTACACACAAATAGCTTGTTCTATTATTAGGGGCGATATTAACCGTCAAGTTAAAACAAGGGTAGTAAAGCCGATTATTTATAACTCATAAACTGTCTCATAAAATTCTACTTTCGTTAATTAGCCTCTCCAATTAATAAGAAAATGTTTTGTTTAGCTGAGCAAAATGTTTAGCGTTTCTGCTTTATTGTAACAAAGTTTCTAGCATTCATTATTTTGATTTATTATTTGAATATTGTTAAGACGCGGAAAAAGTCTTACAGGAATAAACTTTGATGAAGTTGTTTTACTGACCGGCAAAGAATACGAACAGTATATAAAACTAGAGAAAATGAAGAATAAGGAAAAAAGTAAAAAAAAAGAAACAAACACATAGGAAATTGCGATTGCGAATTATATCTTTTGGAATGGGTTGCTTCGACATGGATAACTAAAGTCGGAAGGTCAGCGATTATCAACGCCTATAAACAATAGTTGCAATAGTAGCGGGTTAAAGATCTGGAGCTACTGCTAATAGAAAAACACTACGCAAATATGAATTGCAGTTTAATCACGATCTTCTGAAGAATGCAGAATCTTCTTCACTTTCTGCTGTACCCATAACTCGAGCCAAAATCTTATACACTGATCATTTACAAAGGCCATATTTGGGCTTAAATCACCTCACCATAGGAAGTATAAATCTCATCTCAAAACACAAGTGACGCTCTCAGAGGTCTCCAGCACGCCATTTTAAACGAAACATGTACGTATGGTTGCACACAAGTTTGAAGTTGGCAACTCCAAGTTTCTCACACGCCGAGCTACCCGCGGCTTTCTTTGCTGTTTATTTGGTCTATCTTTTTCTTTGTTAGAACTATCTTTTTTAGGTTGAACAATACTTAAGAGTTTCCAAGCGGAGTTGGTTCTACGAATAAATGAATAGAGATTATTAACTTTAAAAATATACTGAAGTAAAGTTTTTGTGAATTTTGTAATGGAGTTTATTCTTAAGTAACTTTAAAAAGATTCATTGTTTGACTTCTAATTTAATATATTTCAGTAGCAGATTGAATTACTTACCCTGACTGACTGACTCATTAATGCCGAGCCTAAACCGTTTGGGCTACAAACTTGAAATTTAGGCAACTGATGCTTTTTAACCGACTTCAAAAAAGGAGGAGGTTCTTTATATTGTAAGCACCCACTAAAATAGGACTTTTGGAAATTTCACGTCTAAAGGGTTATTAAATAAGGAATAAACGGTTGTTTGGAAGATCGTCATTTTCAAAGTTAGAAATACGAAATAACCACGAGGCCGCAGGCGATAGCCATTTCGAATATAATTTCTATTTCGGCACATGTCTAGACACATAAAAGGTAAGAAAGAAAAGGCATTTATTTCTAAATAATGTGCTATATACGCGATATGTATAAAATTTGCAATTTATAAAAACAATCACTTCGAAAACTTGATCCGTACGTACCATTCTTTTCTTAAATCCCGCTTGCACCTCCCAGAGGCTATCGATCAAAATTTTTTCATACAATTTATACAATGAAATATAGAAGACTCATACCGCGATAGTTTTTACGCTATTACTTCCCAGACTTTTGTATAAGGGCACAATTACTGCCTGTGCCTTGAAAATGTTAAATAGGTGATTCAGCAAGTCGATAGTAAGCCTTCAGCATTTGATTGGTTACCTTGTCGTGTCCCACAAATTCAATGCTGCCCAAACACACTTATATTTTTCAACTTTGGAACGTCTGGAATAAGTTATCTGTTTTCCGCACACTTCATTCTGTATATAAAACAATAAGATGACACGAGATGCCCACAGGCTGTTTACGACAAGACTATAAAATTTGTATTTAAAACTTTTAAAACAGAATGCATCGTCTTTGCATGGCTATGAGTCACATCAGTTTATTCAGACGTTTTTCCAAAACAATTCGTAAACGTCGGTAATACAGTTTTTGTTTCTGATGACTCTGGTGAGTATGGCTGAGTCACAGTTTAAATTACAGAATACGACTGTATAACACGTGATTGTCAAAATACTTATTCATACTTTTGCTATTACGATTGTACGACAACTTGGATAGTAATGTAAGCTGAGAGATATAACCCAAACTCGAAATATCTTAATTAAAATAAACAATGTTTGAAATCGTCTTAGACTCTAAAGTCATAAATCAACGCACACAAAAACAACAATCTGTTTTGTCAAATGTTTAGAAAAATGAAGTTGGTCCATTATGTCTGTGCCGATCTACAACCACCCGTTTCCAAGGGGTTGAGCCTAAGAAGGAAGGGCAAACAAACTCACTCTTTTTTAATTACAGCTAGATATACTCGCATCATTAAATATATGTCCGTGTGGTGACGGATAAAGAATACGGAGTGTCGCCACCCCTGTTCATCCCGTGGGTGGCGTAAGAGACGACTAAGGGACCAAACTGCGCAGGACAACAGCACTGCAAAGAGAAGGAAAACTTGACACAAACCCTATACCAACCCGTCTGGCCAGCGTGGTATAGTAGGCCAAAACCTCCTTTCCAAGGTTGACTATGTCCAGCAGTGGACTGTGGAAGGCTGTTGATGATGATGATGATTAAATATAACACAACGCGGCATTGCTAGGCTCATATCAAATATGGTTAGGTAGAGAGGGTAACACAGCATACAGTGAAGGGGAGCGCTGACTCGTCGCAAGGAGTACTCCCTAAACCTATCCCTGGGTCGCAATTCCCAGGCGCTGTCCAAGTCGCATGTGTTGCCCCCATCTATCACGCGATGGACCCGGCACCCGCACGGTGAATCCATGGAACGCTAAGAAATAGGCTAAGAAATAGGAGTGATTATTTCTTATTTCGTCTTTCTAATTTTGAAAATTACGAACTTCCTTACAACTGCTTATTCCTTATTTTATCATCTTAGAGGTAAAATTTGCAAAAATCCTTTCTTAGTAGCTACTAATACTAATA